TGCTTGTGATGAATAGGTCATTGATTGTACAGAATTCTATCATTCTGTCTCCAGCTCCATTTCTGTCACCAAGTCCATACTTTGTGACAACTGATCCTTCTTTCCTGTTCCCAACTTTCGCATTACAGTCACCCATTATTATCAAAGTGTCTTGGTCACAAGTTTGATTGATTTCCAACTGCAAAAGTTGGTAGAAGTCATCTATTTCCTCTTCATTGGCCCTGGTAGTTGGTGCATATCTTTGAATGATAGTGGTATTAACATGTCTTCCTTTTATGCATATGGATATTATCCTGTCACTCACAACATTATACTTGAAGATGAATCTACAAACAGTCTTTTTAACTATGAAAGTGACTCCATTTTTTTCTTACCTTTTCATCTCCAGCATGGTAGATCATATGATTAACGTCCCATGCCAACCCATTTCACCAGTGCCTAGTATGCCTAATATCTATGTATTCTATTTTTTCTTTAACACTCTCCAATCTTTCCTACATTCATACTTTTCACATTCCATGTTCCAGTCAGTCGTGATTTGCAACTGTTTCTCCTCCTTTGTGATTCCCAGTGAGAAGTTTCTCCCTCTGGTTCCATATCTGCTAGTCTTAACCTAAATGTTCTCTATTGTACATAGGAACTGATGGAATACCAACTGACATATTTCAGCAAACAGATGCTGCCATGGATATGGTCACCAGGTTATGTGAAGAAACCTGGAAGACAACTACCTGGAAGAAACAACTACTGAAAGAGATCTGCATTTATTTCCATCCCCCCCCAAAAAAACAACAAACAAAAGATAACCCAACAGAGTGTGGAAATTATCAAACGATATCACTAATATCACACTCAAACAAGAACCTACTGAAGATTATCCAGACACGACTGGAACAGTACATCAGCAGGGAATTGCCAGATGGGAAGCCTGGGTTTAGAAGAGGCCATTGCACTAGATATATCATAGCCAACATCAGACTGATCTTGGCTGAAAGCAGAGAGTATCAGAGGAATGTCTATCTGTGTTTCATTGACTGTTCAAAACCATTTGACTGTGTGGCTAAGCTTGAGAAGAATGGGAATCGCAGAACACTTAATTGTGCTTATGCAAAACCTATACTTATATCAGGAAGCAGTAGTTAGAACAGAGCAGGGAGACACTGCATGGTTCAGGATCAGGAAATGAGTGCATCAGGGATGCATCCTATCTCCATACCTTTTCAATCAATATGCAGAACAGATCATTCAGGAGATTGGACTTTATGAGTTGGAATGTGGCATCAGGATTTAAGGAAGACTCATCAACAAACTGCAGTATCCAGATGATACAACTTACTTGCACAAACTGAAGAGGACATGAGGCATTTGCTGCAGAAGGTGAAGGACTGTAGTCATCAATATGGACTGAAGCTTAACATCAAGAAAGCAAAGATCCTCACCACTGGGCCAACTGGCAGCATCATGATGGATGGAGAAGAGACTGAGATTGTGGACAGCTTCAACTTGCTTGTCTTCACAATCAATACTCTTGACACCAGCATTCAGGAAATCAAAAGATGAATTGCACTGGGAAAGTCTGCTGTCAGGGACCTCTCTAGAGTACTGAAGAGCAACGGAGTCAGTCTGGAGACTAAGGTGTTTCTAATCTAGGCCATGGTCTTCACAGTTACTTGCTATGCATCCAAGAGCTGGACAATAACTAAGAATGATAGAAGAAGGATCAATGCCTTTGGGTTGTGGTGCTGGAGAAGAGTGTTGAACATACTGCTGACTTCCAGAACAAACAGGTCTGTCTTGGAGAGGATCAAACGAGGCTGTTCCCTGGAGGCAAGGATTTTGAAGCTCCATCTCACATACTTTGGGCACGAGGCCAGGAGAAATCAGTCCTTGAAGGACATCACACTTGGAGTGGTGGAGGGACAACCCAGGAGAGAAAGTCGCTGGATGAGATGGATTGACTCAGTAATTGGAGAAAGGAGATTAAGCCTATCAGAGCTGATGAGATTGGCTCAGGCTAGGGCAGGTTTCAGAGTTAAGATACAAAGGGTCGTTATGAGTCACAGGCAACTCGATGGCACATAACAAAAACAAATCTAGGGTAAGGCTTAAGAAGTTGGTTATACAACTAAAATTAAATATTTCAGCATTAAAAAGCTTAAACGAAAGAAAGATTTGAGGGATGAGTGAATAGCCCCTTATTTTAAGGGAAAACTAAGATCATTTTGAGGATAAAGTGAAATCTAAGGCACACACACCTCCAATTGTACGTAGGTAGAAAATTCTAGATTTACACTTGAAATCTAGAAAATTCAAGATTTTCTGCTGAACCCCTGAGGATCACAGACTGAGGGTAAGAAGTCCTACCTTAGGCCAAATCTATTGTTGTGGCTTAATTCTAACACACAATGATCCCAAATATTTCAGAGTGATACAGTTTCCATAGAATTTTCGTGACGGTGACCTTTCAGAAGTACATTGCTAGACTTTTCTTGAACCTCTGTGGGGTTTTAAACCACCAGTGCCTTAGTTAGCAGCGCAACACTCAACTACGCAAGGGTCTCCCTTGTCTTACATGAACACCTCAAGTTTAAAACGTCTGAAAGATGGCCAGAAATTGCAGGGCACCAAACAGAAGCCAAAAAAAACCCCCACCACTCAAAAGGCATTTCACCGTAGATGTATTCCCACTATCACCCTGTCTTTTCAGGTCCCCATTGGATCTTTCCTAATTCCCTCTCTCCTTCCCTCCACCCACCAAACTCTGTGATCCCATGAATTTTCCCCCTGCTCCCCACTCTGAGCACCCCTATCCACCTTCCCCCTTTAGAATGTTATACATATTTTAATAGTTATCTTTCTATTTTTACAGTAATGGTCCTATGCAGTATTTGTCCTTATGAGACTGGGTTAGTTCACTCAGCATAATGCTCTCCTGCCTTTCCCATGTTATATAGCACTTTTCTAAATTGTTATTCCTGAGTGTTGCATAATATTCCATTGTGTGACTGTACCATAATTTCCCAATCCATTCATTTGTTGATGAACATATGGGCAGTTTCCATTTTCTTGCTCTTGAGAATAATGCTACTATGAACATAGACGTACAAATCTCCATTTGTGTCTCAGTCATATTTTCCTCAGAGTATATTCCAAGCAGTGGAGTAACTAACTCGGTCAAATGGAATTTCTATGTTTAGTTTTTTGAGAAAACAGCAAACTGCCTTCCAGAGTGGTTGCATCATTTTCCAACCCCACCAACAGTGTTATGAGAGTCCAATCTCTCCACAATGGTGATTGGCTTTGTAAAATGCAATGTATGGGAATGATAGAATGAAACACAATGTGAGTGCATAATGTATATTATTTTTTGCAAACTAATATAATATGTGTTGTTTGTTGTTATGTGCCGTCGAGTCGTTTGCGACTCATAGCGACCCTATGCACAACAGCCCTAAACCCTGCTCTATCCTGCGCCAACCGCACTGCCTCTGACACACCCATCCCGATGACCCCAGTCACTTAATCAATCCATCTCATCGAGGGTCTTCCCCTCCTGCGCTGTCCCTCCACCCTCCCAAGCATGATGCCCCTCTCCAAGGACCCATCACTCCTGGCAACATGTCCAAAGTATGTCAGACAAAGCCCCAGAATCCTTGCCTCCAAGGAGTAGCTTGGTTTAATCCTCTCCAAGATGAATCTGTTTGTTTTCCTGGCAGTCCATGGTACATTCAGCACTCTTCTCCAGCACCACAGCTCAAAGGCATCAACTCTCCTTCTGTCCTCCCTATTCATTGTCCAACTCTCCGATGCATAACAAGCGATTGCAAAGACCATGGCCTGTATCAGGCACGCCTTAGTCTCCAGAGAGACACTTATATACAATGTGTGTCTAGAAAGTGTTTTAGCACCTGAGTTCAGTGTGTTAGTACACATTTTGTAGTTTAACAGAATTATGATTCTTAGAAATAATTAAATACATTTTGTTAAATACGGGAGGAAAGGTCTTTCAAAGCCCAATGAAATAAATAGCCATTAGACAAATCATGACAGAACTAAGCTTCGAAGTTCAATGGAATACATGCACTTATGCACATCCATGTTTATAGCAGCTTTGTTCACAATAGCGAGTTGGAAACAACCTAAGTGCCCATCAACAAACAAATGGATAGAGATGCTCTGGTATATTCACACAATGGAATATTATGCTGCATTGAAAAACAAGGAACTCATGCAATATTATTAAAAATGGGAACTCTAGAGAACATTATGCTGAGTGAAATATCTCAGTCACAAAAGGACAAATACTGCATGGTACCCCTGTTGTAAAACAGGACGGACATCGGGGTTTGGGGGAGACTGAGAAAGATGGGATAAATAATGTATACTGCATTGAAACAGATGAGGGAGAAAACTGTTTAAAAGGGATATGTGATTAGGCATTATTGTCATGACAGGAGTCCAGAACGAAGGTTGCATAGTGGAGTAGACTTGGGGGGAGGGACTGTAAAACAATGAAAGAATTTTTCTTTTACTTCTCAAAGAGAAGAGGGTACTTAGGGAGACAGGTGGGCAGGGAGAAAAGTGCAACAATGAATGAATGGAAATTCAAAGTCTCTGTACATTTTCATTGAAATTAATAATAAAAAAAGTAAAAAAAATATGGAGAAAGAAAAAAAGAATACACGCTCTTCTATTCTTCAACACTTGTTGTTGTGTGTCACACACTCACTGCAACCCTATGATCCACAGATCAGAATCTTGACCTATCCTTCACCATCCTCATCCTCTCCAACATGCCCATGTCCATTGCTACAGTTACTGTGTCGATCTATCTAATTGAGGGTCTCCCTCTTCTTTGCTGACCATCAATCTTTCCCAGGTATATTCTCATTCTTCTCAGTGTTATCCATAATTTGTTATGATCCACATAGTCAAACTTCCAGGAAAGCCCTATCTGGGACCCAGGAGCTGGGAGTGGGGATCAGAAGATCGGTCCTTACCACAAGCCCTCGGAAGGCCTTCTTCTCTGTGATCCGATAGAGCCCTTCTGATGTCATTATTTTAATGTGCTTGACCTCAACATTAAACCTGAAAACAGAAAGAGAAGGCCAGGTAATCACTGCATTGTGAGTCTGGGGTCCTGGGTCCATTCCCCGCCAAGTCTCAGCTCCAGGGCATACTCCCCAGCCACACCAAGAAATCTTGGTTCCCACAGTGAGCCCCAAGTCTGAAGCCTCCCCACTATTAGCCCAACAGAAACACTGCTCTGAGCCCTTTGTTACTGTATAGCTTTGTTTCACCCTTTGTTTTATGGATGTCATCTTCCTTTAGGATTGATAAGAAATCAATGTGACCACGTAAAGAAGGCAGTGTTCTAGAACAGATAAGAGAATATCTCCATCCCTACCAGTATGGCGAAGCAGAGACTAAAATGGGCATACAGGAAACATCCAGTCCTACCAATATGGTGGATTAAACAACAATCCTTCTATTACAAAATCCTTAGACATGCTGAGCTCTCAAAAAAACGTAAGAAAACCCCTAGAGTCCAAACATGAAGATGAAACTTAAAAAAAAAAAAAAACCTAAACACTGAACTTGAACTTGTGCTTTTAAAACCCTAAAGAATGTGCTGATTTTGTTAACAAGAACTCGTGTCTTGATCACATGGAAGCATGAGATGAGTTACTGGACCCATTTACGGCAGAGTTGGCACCGTGAGCTGTCCATACCCTAAAGGCTAGACTGTGAAAGAACTATTCCCTCAGGAAAACGGATGTGCTAGGGAAATTCTACAAGGAGGAAGAGAAGCTATAACAACAAGGTTTGTCTGTTTATCAAATCAAAGGATTCACCCTGGAGAATCCAAAACCTCAGAACCTATATTCATGCAGATTTTGGGTCTGAACTTACACTATTTTTGTATTGTAAGATAAGAAAATAACTTTTTTAACTAGGTAGATACTTCATCACTTTTCATTCTATGAGAATTGCATCATTTTCTAGCAAAAGTTAACATTAAGAAGTATAAGCACTAATAACTTTGTAAATGATTACCTAACATGGGAGGGACTGGAGAGCATTATGCTGAGTGAACTAACTCAGTCCCACAAGGACAAATATTGTATAAGAGGATTATTGTAGAAGGAGTATAGGGATCCAGGAGGGGTAGGAGAGGCTGGAAGCAGAGGGATGTGGATGTGCAGGGGGAAGAGGACATTAGTTAGATTGTACAATTTAATGGGTGGAGGTTTGGTGACGGAAATTGAAAGAATCTGTTCAAATTTGTATTAGAATTTTGTAAATAAACTAGTAAAAAAAATAAAATACATTTAAAAAAAGAAATGCAAGCACTATTGATCTGGACAAATGTGGAAATCTGCGCTAGAGCTCATGACCCTCCATAAACTTCTGAAATAATACTTCTTTTTTTTTTCCTTTTTGAGAAAACTTCCTGTGCCACACAGGGGCACCATTGTGGACGTATAATAAACTTCCTTTTAGTATTAAAAATACAAAAGTGGGTTGACATGGTGATCGCAAACTCACTCTGGAGCACTTCCCAAAGACAAAAATTCCCACTTTAGATTACAACATAAAATTGACATATTTTCTCTTTGTTATCTCCCTCATATTCTATCTGCAGAAGTGTTAGGTCAAATAATATCTGGGGTGGGCAGGAATTAAGTAACATCTTAAAAAAATTCTGAACTCTAAACTAATACCTGTCTAGAATTTCTAATTATATCGGGACTTTAAAATTTCCTCAAGATAAACATAAAGCCTAATTAAATCTTAACACTGAAATTTTTTTTAAAAAACCCAAATTCATGAAGAAGCTATTCACCGTGGGTGAAAGCCAGCATACAATAAACAGAAAGATTGCAGGAGCAAAGTCTGTGGGATTTGGGTGGACATTATTTCTTCTTCTTCCTAGGGTGTGCTACAGTTTGGTTGGGATTCCACTGGCTATATGACTTTCTTTTGGGTTTACTGGCCCAATTAAAATAACTAGAAAAGCACTCAAGACCCAGCAAGAGTCCAGTAAGTGGTGCCTGTCCCCACTGTAAATGCTTCTGTAGTAGGGCCAGGATGCTCAACTGTCTCTGCTTCCCAGGCATCTACAGGGCCCTAAGGAGAAGTGGGTTAGGGAGAGAGAAGTTACTTAATGCTGATGGCAAATTCTGCTGCGTCCTTCACCCTCTGCCGAACCAAGAAGGTTCCATCCGAGCGGTCAGTGAGGATGCTCTCGGCCTCAGCACGCTCCATGGGGCCAGCGTACCTGCAAAGATACACCAAGGAGAGAAGTTAGCACAGGATCCTACCCTAATGTGCGGACCCCTGGGTCTGTGGGTTTCCGTTTACATTCCTGCCCTCACTTTTTTCTGAACTGGAATTGCTGGACTATATAGTCATTCTTTGTTCAATTTTTTGAGGAACCACCAAGCTGTTTTCCACAGTGGCTGTCTGAATTATTTTACATTCCCACCACCCATGCACAAGGCTTCCAGGTTCTCCAAAATCCCACCATCTATTGTTTTCTGGTTTGTATCTTATCATTGCCCTTCTAAGACAAATAACACTTGTCCACAATTAAGATTGCATAGTGGAATGTACTTGGGGCAGTGGGAGGGGTGCAGGGGGATTGCATACTAGGGAGGGTGTTTTTCTTTTGCTTTTCAAAGAGAGGAGCGAACTGGGGGGGGGGGGG